GCAGCATACCAGGTGCGTGTATGGGAGCAGCACTACATGTCCTTGTGGAGGGCGCTATTCCATCGGAGAACCGCAGCTGAACAGGTCCACAGCTTCAGAGTGCTGCTTGAGGCTAAGGCCCTTTCTCCCCCGCTTGCGCTTGCCAAAGCACGTGCTGGTTTCCTGCGCCGCTTACACCTGCATGGGCCACGCCCCTTGGTTGCCTTGCTATGGGACCACTGGACTCAGCACCCTCGGACTTCTTGGCTTGAGCAAGTGCGACAGGACATTGACCATGTCATTCAGTATGTGCCCTCCGTTCGCAACGTCCTTGGATCTGTCGACCCTGTCGCAGCGCTCTTGGACTCTTACGATACAGATAGCTCCTGGTGGCCACGACAGCTCACAAGGCTGCGGAAAAGGCTTTCTATGAGGACCTTGCGAGATGGAACAACGAGTGCAGGCTAGGAGCCACCTCTGCCGTCCCCATTACGGTTACTCAGGACCCCAGTTTGTTTCCGTGCTACCTATGCGGCGCTTCGTTTCCTTTGCGCAAGCATTTGCATGCGCACTTGGCGCGGACGCATTGCGTGTATTCGCCGACACGCCATTACACGCTCAGCTCCACATGTTCTGCTTGCCTCAAGGTGTTTCCGGGTGTTAAGCAAGCCCAGCACCACCTAAAACATGCGACCGACTGCCTCCATCGCTGCCTGTACCTCCATGCTCCCCTCTCTTATGAACAGATTTTGGAGTTGGAGCGACCAGATGCACAGCGAGACGCAGCGGTCAGGCGCGGCCAATGGAAACACTTTCGAGGGCTGCAGACAGCCCGTGTCCCGCAAGCCTTTGGGCCCCGCCTCCCTACTGCAGAGGAGCGACTCACAGAACCGGCCTCCGAAGACGACCCACTCACTAGCCTCACCAGAGGCTTTGTGCCTAAGCCTGCGCATATCGTCTGGATCACAGACCATATCGCGCAGCGAAGCACAGAAGGCCCCAACCCCAAGGCGCACAGGTTCTGGAGCAGGCGACCCACGTTTCACCTTTCGAATTTATGCACGCATTTTTGGGACGCGTCAAGCCGCGCCACAACAAGTGGCCTTTGACTCAGGAGTCCGCAAGAAGAAGAAGAAGGCCCCTATTTAGCCTGCTTGACTTAGGTGTACATTTGTGCATCCCTAGATGGCAACTTGGGAAACTTTAAAATTTCCCTTATGGTTTCTATGGTACCTATTCATAAATACTTTTCAGGGCCCCAAAACTACAACCCAGATCCCGAAAAGGGGGCGAGGAACCATGAACCTCGACCGAACCCAAAGGCTCCATGGTACCCATATAGTAGATACTTAGGCCTTAAAGGGGTCCCTATATTGGTACTTTAAGGCCTAAGTATCTACTAGATGGGTACATGGAGCCTTAGGGCGAAAGAAGCAGAGTTGCCAGGCCGACGACGACAGGCTCCGCGAGCCCCGGAACGGTGGTCCGCCCTCCAGTCCAGACCAAAATCCGTTTAGGGTCTAGGGTTTAGGGTTTAGGGTTTAGGGGTTGGGGCTTTCATGCTCAAGCGTGCGGTACTGCCCCGACTTCGTAACAGTCGAATGATGTAAAAAAAACTTTAGCTGTGATAGAGTGTATCTGTATGGGGCGGGGGGGCGGGGTAGTAACTCAAAGGGTCTCATCTCTAGAGTCTGCGACTCCCGCAGGATCATCTGCTTGATTTTCATGCCCCAAAATCCTATTCTAATCATCCAGGTCCGTAGAGTCCACCCCTAACCTCAACTAAAGCCCTAGATTACGGCCCAAAAAACCGTAAACTCCAAGCGATATACCCTTGACGCCAAGGTGCTGTGGCTCCGTCGCGGGAAGGTCTTGCCAGCTCCAAGCCGGACTTCGACAACTTTTCAGGAGGCCCCTTATAACTTAGGGGTACTTAGAAATGGTTTTTAATCTTTGGCTACTACAAATAAACCCTAAGAAGCAGCTAAAATTATAGTTTTTGCTAGGGGTCTAAGTTCAGTATAGATAAAGGATACTACAAGGGTACTTCGGGTTTAGGGTTTGGCGCAAAAGATTCTGTAAAGGGGTTCCATCACGTTAAACCCTAAACCCTAAACCAAGGGTTCTAGAAGGACTTCATGTCGGTCTCACTAGCGCTTTCTATGGCTCAGTGGCTGAGTGAGTACACTTTACATTTTTTGGGATTATATGATCCCTTATAGAACTGAAAGTGTACACTTTTGGGGGCTTATGAACTCAACAACTAAGATGGTTTGAGAAGGGTGTTAGACGGGTGGTGTATGGGTCCAAGAAGTGCCACTGAAGGTTTGTCGTAATGCACCTAAACCCTATAGACCCTAAGCCCTCACTGATTGAATGAGCTTAAGAGCGTTGCGAATGGTTTGCAGAGGGTTTCGAGGGCCCCTGAACCCTAAACCCTTAACCTAGCAAGACGTAGCAAGCTCGATCCGCGCCTCGCTCAACATCTTTCTTTGCTCATGGAGTTGCTCAAACTATTTAGGGGTTTAGGGTTTAGGGGTTTAGGGTTTAGGGCTCATGGAGTTGCTCAAGCTTGAGATGGAGGCAGATGTTGTTCGAGAGAAATGTGTATTGTACGATTTCCAACTATAAGCTCTAAAACACACTGAAGCCCTATATACCAATGAATCCAAGCTTACAAGCGGATTTGTAAGCCCCCGCCCTAAACCCTAAACCC